CAGATAGCCTCGGCCGCCTGCGCTCTTGGCCATTCATCCAGGATTGACAAGAATCCCTAATTAATTTAATTAGGCGTGGATTTTGCGTTGGTGTCAAGACTTAGTTAAACACTGGGGAGCTGGACCGTCTCCGCCAGGGCGTGGCCAAGAGGAAACTGACAAGTGCAGGGCTCCTGGAGTCAGTCGGGCATCCGGACTCCGCATCAGACCCTACATCCTCGCCCCGCGTCGGGGCGCCGGGCAAGTGCTCGGTTTCGCATTGCTGCCGGGTATCCCGGCCCTGCGTCCGGCGGCCCGCACGCCGCAGTTCCATATCCCGACCCAGTACTCCAATTCTATCCCCGCTCCTCACCCCCACACCGCACCTACACCTCGCAGCTCGGCATCCTGGCTTCACAACCCTGCCCGGCGTCAGGGGCCTCTACAAGCTCCTTTTAGAGGTTTCCCGGCCCGCAGCCAGAGCTGATCCTGGGTCTTCACCAACCTCCTCGCCTTGGGGAGTTTATGAGCACCCCACTACTTGCGTCCTGGAGCCCAAGCCGGCTCCTCTATGGACAAACCCTCTCGAAGGGGTCGGTCGATTTTACACGTTTTCCAAGCAGCTGTTCCCTGACAGATTCCATTTTAAAGTGTTTCCTTAGCGCCAGGTCAAAGACAGCTCGACTTCGTTCTCTTTTTGAGATCTCAGGACCCTCAGCCCATCTCCCTTGTAACTAACTCTCTGTATCCGGACCCCTCCCAAAATGAACTACAGGGGCCCTTCTTTAGCATCCCGGGAAACATTCGAGTTGATTTTCTGATTTTGAAAAGCAAGTTATTATCCCTCTTTGACTTTGAAAACAAATCGACAGTTAAGTTTGTGCCCCATCTAATTTTATTTATTGTGGACTACTCAAAAATATAGGCTTGCCGGGAGAAAGTTCTCTCTCCTTCTCTCTCCCCTCTCTCCTATTTTAATCGAAACAGTTATATGGAAGGACCGTCTATATTCCTGAGTCATTTGTATGGTGCAGGACAAAGCTTGCTGTGAGAAACGTGGCCACTTATGTATCTCACATAAAAATATTTACATACAGAAAGTTATATTTATTTGAGTGTGTAAACAAATATACCTCAAGTGTAGCCATAGAGACATTTTCAAGGAGTCTGAATGTTATTGAAGGTTTTCTGATGTTAAAAGTACATAACTTGTTTACTTTCTTGAACCTCATACTCTTCGTAAAAATAAAAGCAACTTTGATATGTATATCTTCCACCCATTGGTTAAGGCATCAGCACAAAGTTAACAGATAATTTGAGAAGTTCCATCAAAGCAACCTGAAACTTTTGTAAAAACAACAAAATTAGAGCTATTAGTGTTTTTAGAACGTGTGTAAATAGAGGCAATACATAACTTTATGTCATGCTACACTACTCTCAGATTAAAATGTTCACATTTGGCAAACTTAAGATGGAAATCATATGTCTTAGAAATATTACTTCACCTTTTTTTCTTGAATTCTGAAGTTATCTCTTCTTAAAACATTTCATTTATAGCTACTTTTAGGAGAAATAATTAAGATCTTTATGTTTCTAGTGAAGCTTTTAGATATTAATGAATTATATGAGTGCTTGCTTTTATTTTGTTAAGCTACAAAAGAGACTCAAATAGTCACACTTTCCAAAGTTATATGAATTTAGAAATATTATTTTACATTTAGTGTAGGGTTACTATTTGTAAGCACTTTAATTCTGATATTATCAGAGGGGAATAACCATAAAACTTTAATCCTTTGTGAAAATCCGTTTTTAAGGCTATTTAGCAGAATGACCAGAAAGAGCTCTCAAACTGAGGTGTTAAGTACTATTCACAAACAGCTCCAAAATAACCACTATTAGAAGTCTGGTAAGGGATCAAGAGACTCACTAGCTCCTTTTTTTTTTCCCTTTCAAGCACATGAGTTTTAAGCCTGATCTCAAATTCCGTCTACTGAGCTTGAGGGAAAGATGACCACTTTAAAGGTAATCAGGGAAGGCTCAGACACAGTAGTTGAGATTCACACCAAATAAATTGTCCCTTAGGTTTTCTTGGCATATTGGCTCTTTGTATATTTAGCAATAGTGGTGTTAATATCAGATAGAGTTAAGAGAGATCTGCAGTGTCTGACCACGGATTCCACTGGCCTAAGGGAAGTTTAGTTTTTTTGTTTTGTTTTAACCAAGGTTTTGAAATCATATGCAAATACATACTCATAAAGATCTAATGATGCTGTTTCATTAAATAGTAAATATTTTCTGAAAGCAGGACATTTCAAAATGCAGTATTGGTAAAAAAAATATGTATTAAAGTTCAGTTGACAGCTTGCAGACATATGCAAGAGCCAATAAAATTCAGGACCCCAAGAGTCCCCCCAGCTCTTGAATTATTTAAAATAAACATGTAGTGTTGTAGCTAAGTTTTAAAACGGCCCCTCAAAACTGGTTATTTAAGGTACAGTCATTTATGACATATTTCTGGAGTTGATTTTCACCATCTCAGATACCTGTGGAAAACTGTAGTTTGGGTATTTAGCAGTTGTGAATGAGTTGGTTCTCACAGTCGACCCAAACCAAGGCCAACAGTTTATTTACCTCCGTTATCTTTAAGTACTTATAGTAAATAAGGAAAGAAAGATATTTATGCAAGGACAGATACATAATGTAGTATGTGTTACAGAAAATGCTGAATTGCTTTAATTTCTGTTGGTTTAAATAACAAAAACCTAAACACTTAATTTTTCTTTCAGAAGAAACCTCCTCTCCATACCTCGGGCAGCGTTCCCCCATTCCTCTAACAACCAGTTACTTTAATGTGAGAAACTAATTTGCACCCAACCTGTGAGTGCCTTCACCTTCAGGGCATTAGAAACACCGACTTTTAATGCATTTTTGCAAATAAATCATTACAATTTAATCACACACGACTCTATACAGACACTCCCATGATTTATTATTGTTGGGCGAGTTTCCTCCTCCTCCAGCTTGAGATAACCAATTTTGCTACGCGTGGGTGTCTTAAACATAACTTCCTATAACGCAGATTTGTTTACTGATTATCTGTGACGATAACGACGATTACGAAGGCAACAACACTCTTCCGTTCCCATCTTTATTGCTTTTTGGTAATAAGAAAATCAAATAATCAAACAAGCAAGCAAAACCAACACCAAACAAAAAATTGGCGTTGTGACAATCTATTCCCTCGGCACTCCTAACGCCTGGCAGCCTCCATCGATGCATTCGAAAGCTCGGCTGACGCTGCCTGGCGCTGGAACCAGGAAGGCGGTGAGCTTAAACTGAAGCAAGTTCGGAGGACGCCGGGGCGCCCACATTTGAAGAAACGTTTCCAGGTTTGCGGAGCTTGCAAGTCAACGGGAGGTGTGATCCCGAAGGCCAGGAGCCAGGTGATGCCTGCATAAGGGGCCTGGCAGTAGGCGCCCGCGACTGCGGGATTCCGAGGCCCTGCTCCGGCAAGAGGCGGCGTGGGGCCTGGCGCGGTCGGTCTGGGAGGCGACGAGGGGTGGGCGGAGGCCCGGAGGCATGCGGAGCGGTACAATGCTGTGCGCATGCGCCCGGCACCTGGCTGTTTCTGACCCTGGAGGTCGAAGCGGGGGGCCTTAGGATGGTGGGCGGCTGTAGAGTGGTGCGAGGTCGCAGGCTTCAGGCTAGGCCCTCTGTCTGGAGGTGGTGAGAGAGAGTTAGCCCGCTCTTCCTCCCCTTTCCCCCTCATTCTCTATCCCATCCCCATCTCAAGTCCCTGGTCATTCACTGATATCTGATTTTGGGTCTATGTGCCCAGTGCTTGCTTCGTCACTGGCTCTAAGTCGGGTGCAGTGAGAGAGAGGCCACCGCCTGGTGCACCTTGCGCCACCCACGCCGCTGTCTGTACTTGAGATCCATCTCCTTCCAATTCCCTGGGTTCTTCCAGGCTCATACTCTTCTGCTGACAGAAGTGGCGCAGGGTGAAATAGACGTTTCTTCTTTAACATATAAGTGTACTCGCCTTAAACACTCAGTGTCCATGACGTCAGGACTTGTGGCCTTGTGGTCATAGGCCAAGGTCATATGGCTCCACTTAAACTCTGTTTACTTTGGTGAGATGTTACAATGCACTGTTGTATGTATTGACTGTTCTTGATTTAAGGTCAGCCTTAACATACTTTCTCAGAGGTTATGTATCTTTAAATGCACACTTGAAGCCAAAAAAATGCCACGAACACACCTTTTTTGCATTTTCAGAATTAGCAGTAACCTATTTGTGAATCAACCAAGTAGGAACTTGTTAAGTAGTTAAATAAATTCAGATGTCTTGTGTCATCGTCACAAAAAAGTACTCAAGTTGTCAACTTAGACACAAAAGCTCTAAGCGAAGGAGATACACAGAGTTCTCAGGTTTTAAGGATTGGAGCAGATGTTTAGGTGCAATCTTGTGGGGAAACTGGGTATCTTTTGAGAGACCCTCTAGCTTTAGAGTCTATAAATATTCATTTTCGTTGCAGGCAAAGGAGATACCCTGCTAAGTAGTAGCACTTTATTACTGTATGTTCTTCAGTAAGAGGGCTAAAAATGTTTGAAACTGAGATAAAGGCAGGTGGCAGCTATTAACTGCCTTACCCACTTGACCTGTCTCAGGAAAGACTTGTGTTATGAGTTGGAAATCTTATGTAGTAAAATTGTTATACTAGATGTATAGCTATGTTTTCTGCTTTCATTTTCAAACCAAAAGTCCTGTGACTGATAATTCTTTTAAAAGAAAGAGATGGCTAGTCTGCAAATTTTTAGTTGTTACTGGAGGAGTGTTTTGACAATTCTCTATCACTTTTGAGCTGTGCTTTGTTATGCTTGTTAAGCCAGAATTTTACCCCAGTTCTTTTATTACCTTTGCATGGTTCTATACTTATTCATGGATTTCTTCTTATGCTAAACGGTGTTTACCTCATTTTTACTTTTCTCTACCTCTTCAAGGTGGATTTCCCATTGAAATGACTGTTCTTTTCTCTTTTTCTGGATCTGTGTCCAAGATAAAAAAGATTATAGTTTGATGTACTAATGAATGAGCAGTGGAGAAATAATTATAAGTTGTCATGCCCTCTAAGAATCTTTATTCTAACTGCCTGTTTTCTGAAAAAGATAATTGTTTCTTGTACCTTTATTAATAATTGGACAAAGGAACTACTTGTGTATGCCTTTGAGCTCTCTTTGGATGACCTCATCTTGGCGCCGCATCTTCAGTCACCTAAACTTTGCAATAAGATGTTTTTGTAAATTAATGTCCTACTGTAGTCATTACCTGCTATGGCTTCAATTTTGCAGTGCAGTAGTTGGGTGAGGTTTGCAACAACTAGACTAAAAGGACATACTAGAGACTAGCGCTAGAATAGAAAACCAAAAGCTGTAGGAGTTCTGTCTCTGTATTACCTTTTCTGTTTACAGATAGATTGAAAAATTGTTAGCTTGTGGGACTCCTAAAACTCTTTGCTTGATTCATCATTGCCCTTACCAGAAAAAGCTATTGATGTGTCCTCCCATGTATTGCACCTTACCAATGGAGTTAAATATAAAGAGTTCACCCTTACTAGGAGTGTAAAATGTGAAATTGACCACTATGACTTGAATGAGCAAGTATATTCAATTATATGTTTGGGTTACATTATGGAAATTATGCTACATATATGGACATAATGAAAATCCAGAGGTAAGTATCTAGGGTGGCGAATAATAATTCAGCCTGTCATTGATAGAGAAGACAGTTTTTGGATCTACCTCTGATTTGCTCTTAGTGTTCATTTCCTTTTCTGAATAAAAATGTGACGTTATCTATAATAAAGAAAAATGGAGACTTTTTGCTTTCTCTTACTGAGATTAATTATACTTCATTGTAATGTTTCTGAAATGCAAATGTATTACTTGAAAAAGCACAATTTTCAAGTAACAGTGGTTTTTATTTCTTATTTTTTAATTAAAATTTATTGGGGTGACAATGGCTAGTAAAGTTACATAGGTTTCAAGTATACAATTCTATAATACATCATCTATATAGCACATTGTATGCTTACGACCCAGAGTCAGTTCTCCTTCCATCACCATATATTTGATCCCGTTTATCTTCATCTACCACCCCTCCTTCCCCCTTACCCTCTGGTAACCACTAAACTATTGTCTGTGTCTATATGAATTTTTGTTTCTTTATTTGTTTGTCTTGTTCCTTTGTTGCTTTCAGTTTTATATCCCGCATAGATTTTTCAACCTTATTTTACTTGACTCCTCTGAGGAGGGATTTGGTATCTCCCATTAACTTTTCTGAGTTAAGTGTATTTATTATTATGGACAAATTATTTTGTTTAAAATTAAAACAAAAACTTATAACCACTCCCCCATTGTCTCTTGTTTTGGTCGCCAGTAAGATACATAATTAGATGTGTGTCCTTTTCTTTTTTTTCTACTTCTTTATGCCTTTCATAGGATCTTAATAAGCTGGACAAGAATGGAAAATGGTAACAACTCTAGGTACCTTAGAACAGTGGTTCTCAGACTTTTTAGTTTCAGCATCCCTTTATACTCTTGAAAATTGTTGAGGACACCAAGAACTTTATGTGGGCTGCATCTATAAATATTAGTACACTAGTAATTCAAACAGGAAAATTTGTAATATTTATTAATGCACTTCAAAATAATAAACTCATGGTATCATAAAAAACAAATTTGATATGAAAAATAACCATATTTTCCAAAACAAAACATTGATAGTGAGAAGTGGCATTGTTTTCCATTTTTGCAAATCTCTAAGGTCTGGCTTAATAGAAGACAGTTGGATTCTTATATCTGCTTCTGCCTTCAGTTTGTTATGATGAGTTGTTTTGATTTGAAGTATACAAAGAAAATCTGTATTCATAGAGATATGGTATTGGAAAAAGTATTTTTTATTAAAGTATAGTTAACATACAATATTATATTAGTCTCAGGAAAAAGTAGTATATTTTAATAGCCTTTAGATAATTCTTTGATACTACACCAAAACTTGACAAGTAGTAGTTTCTTAAAGTTGGTTGTAATGTGGTATTTGAAACCACATCAGTGATCTTTTCATAGTCTAGTACATTAAAATCTATTGGTCTGTCTTGCACTCTGAATGGATTTTTTTTTACCCATGAATGATTCTGTGACATCATGCATTGGCCTACTGGAAAATACCAGCTGACTGAGTTATGCATGCCTTCCAAACGTTGATACCCTTCATTATGTAATATTTTTTTAAAAGTCACATTTGTTAATATCACCACAGAGAAATCTTTAAGTATTGGGAAGCTATCGGTCTCATGGTAGCAAATGCAAGTTATCCAAAAATTTAAATTTTGCTTGAGAGCTCAAATTCATCATTGACAACAAATAATCAGTTTTCCTTGAAGTGAAAGACTATTTATTTTTGAGAATGTCTGCCAAATATGCAGGTCTGAATAATCATAATTCTTTAAAATAAAAATAGTGTTTCATGATAAAAGCAGCTAGTTCAACTTGCAATTCAGGTGCACAAATGTCTTTTCTCAAGATAACCATCATTCTTCAATATGCAGCACTACTAGTTATTGTGTATTTCCCATTTCATCACACAGTATTAAAAAGATGTGTGCTCAAGTGTTGACATTTAATAAAATTAATGATTTTTACTACTTTATCAAGGAGATTCTTTTTTTTTGAAGTCATTAGATTTATAAAAAGATGCAACAAATTTTCAAATGATACAAAAATATCATTTTTAAAATATCAAAAAGTGAGTGTCTTTACTCAGCTCATAACATAGCAAATGGGTAAGTGGAATAATCATGCTGTAGCATGTTTTATAAACTGGCAACAGAGAAAGTTGGTTGAAGGAAAGCAGAGGAATTTTGTCTTTTAAGAATTAGACTCGAGGGGCTCCATAATCATCTGCATTCCACTCAGTGTTGTACCTATGGTTAGAAACGTACTTGATGGGATCTCCAGGGACCTTCCTGATTCCTGGTTTAAGGTCCCAGTCAGCCGTGGCCACCGTGTAGCACTTGTGAAGAGTTACTCTCTCTACTAAGCAGTCACCTGCATGGGCTCCTTTGTGTGTGCATTGTAGCTGTTCAAATCTTGGATCCTTGGCAATCCTTAGAGCCACTCGATACTTTTGCCCTAATTTCTCAATTTCAGCCATTACACAGTCAGTTATACAAGGATACACTTGGCATATAGACAGTCCATCATTGAATGCACTAAGTCTAGTTTGGCTTTAATGGAAAAGTTGATAAAGTTGGTGTCAACCAGGATGCGGTAAGGTGGGCCCAGCTGTGTGTTAATACTGGAAGAATAAGCAAGAAGGGTGTTGGAGGGCTTGTCTTTCCTTGAGTACACTGGGGTCTTTCTTTTCTTTCTTTTTAGGTTT